TTTTTTTTTTTTTGGTATGGGGATTGAATTCAGGTCCTTGTGCTTGTGAGGTAGGTGCTAAATCCCTGGCCCTGCATATTAAATTTTGAAACATACTTTTCTTGAGTACTTCTACCTGGCTTGCTCAGAGTCAGGGATGCCCGGCTACAGATCTTCTGTGTGTGCCTCTTTTCTTCACGTTGGTAGCAGAGCAGAGGGTATGATCTTCTCATAGAAACCAGGTCTCCTTCCAGGTATGGTGAACCACAGGTGGCTTCTGTACCAGTTCTGGGAGCTCTGACTCCTGTGTGTACAGGGAGGAGTGGGTTTGGGGGAGGATCATGAACAGCCACATTAACTCCACAGTTGGCCCCATGCCATGAGCTAGGGATGTCATTGCTGGCCCTGAAGCGTAAGTGTCCTCAATAATGTCTCTTTTCTTCTTCGGTTTTCTGACTTAGTTTTACTTGCAGAATTTTAGAAGGCGAGGGATGGGTAGAGGGAAACCTCCTGTGAAGTCTTAGTTTCTCTGACACATTTCTCTGCAAGTTGTCTCTGGGCCAGGTTCGTCCTCAGCCCTATTAGCTCTCAGGTTTACAAAGACCAATGGTACAACTTTAGATGCCCTTCCACCAGTCCTCAGTCAAGGACTACCGACTCTGTCAGATATTTGAGAGGGAAGCACACCTTAATATTCATGCAGCCTATGGCTTTGGATGCTGTGTGAATGCTGATGACATCACAATTAATATCTCCAGCCATGACTTCTCCCCTGGACCCCAGATTTGGATAGCCGACTGCCTACTTGTTGTCTCCACCTATGTGTAGGGTGATTTTTTTGTGTGTGTGGGGGGTATGGGATCTCACTGTGTAGTACAGGCTGGCTTTGAACTCACAGTAATCCTTCTGTCTTAGCCTCCCAAGTCCTGGGGTTCTAAGTATGTGCCACCATGCCTGGTCCAAACTAGGTGAGCTGGCACATAACTGTAGTCTTGGCTACTTGGGAGGATGAGGATCATTTGAGGCCATGAGTTCAAGACCAGAGCTTGAGCAATAAATAATACTGAGACCCTGACTCCAGAAAAATAAAAGAAAAAAGGAAGGAAGGGAGGCAGGGACAAAAAGAAAAAAAAATTGTTTTAGAGGTGGTTTTACTATGTTGCACAGGCTGCTCTCAAACTTTAGATCCTCCCTACCTCAGCCTCCCTAGTAGCTGTCAAAAGAAAACTCTTGATTCTGGTTCCTACCTCTAAACCTGTGGTTTTTTTTTTTTTTCTACTCTTGCCTAACTCTGTAAATGGCACTTCAGCTTACTCAGTTGATCAAGTACTCCTTGATTCCTATTTCTCACCTATGTCCAATTAATTAGCAAGCCCTGTCAGATCTTCCCTCAAAACTATACCCTGAATCTGATCACTTTTTACCCCTCCACTCCTACCATCTGTGACTGCTTACAGCAATAGCTTTCTACCTGGCATCTCTCTCCTGGTGTCTGTCTTGTTTCATCACATGATGACTCTGGTACCCTTGTCCTTACTCTCTGAACAGAAAACTCAGGCTTAGAAGGAGCAGGTAAGTTGTCCAAAGCCATCACTAAGGGGTAGAGCTGAGATTTGAATTCAGGTCTATCTGACACCAAAGCCTGTTTTGTTTTGTTTTTGAAATGGAGTCTTCATATATTGTCCAACCTGGCCTCAGATTTCTGGAATCAAGTGATTCTCCTGCCTCAGTTTTCCAAATAGCTAAGACCATAAGTGTGCGCCACAGGGCCCAGCTAAAGCCTCTTTTTAAAATCTCTACATGGACACCTATAACTAGGAACATGTTGTAGCTATTTCTTCCACTTCGTTCATTCATTTAACATTATGCATATAGCATGGGGCCTGGTATGAGTTTCTCCCAAGTGTGAGGCTGAATCCAAAACAGGCATCAGGAGGGATGTAATGCAAGTCAATGAGAAAAGGACCAGTAGTTGCCAGCAGCAATCTCAAGGGAGAGAGCTGCAAGGGCTCAATTCGATCAGCCATCTGCCCCTTGTTCTCTACACTCCATGAGACATCCTGGCCCCTGAGGTGCCCAATTTTAGGCTGCTGATTCTTCTCATAGCCCTGAACCCAAGGCCTGCTGCTGAAAGAGGGCCAGCTCCACTACAGCCACCTTCTGGTTTGCCCCAGGAGGGCCTGGGGTGAGATAAGAGGATGGACAGCCCCTAGGAGGAGCCTGAGTTGCCCAGAGGGCCCTGCAGGAAGTCACCCCTTCCTTGGGGGTGGGAGAGGAATGAATGACTCAGGGCCGCTTGGTGGGAGTTCCCTTTTTGATGCCAACACTGGGTGAGGACAAAGAGTCCAACCAGGTTTGCCTTTTCCAGTTGCCTGCCACAAGAGGCTTTCCTGTGGCTTTTCCCATCATTTCTCTGGAAACAAGTTTGTGCTGCTGGGCTGGTCTCTTGCTCCAACCCTGCCCAACCCAGGCTTTCTCCTGTGAGTATAGAGTGAAGCAATGAGAACTGAAGCTAGAATGGGGTGGGGCAGGCGAGGCTGGCTGACAATTTATGACTGCTCTGAGCCTGTAGGTGCAGTCCTGGGTTCTTAGGGTGCCACAATGGGAATATGGGGGCTCTTTTGTTGGTGGGGGTGCCTTTGAGGTACCATCAGCACATGATAGTATGTGGGCAATGTTATTTGTAATGAATTTGGAAGTGTATTATGTAAATCTAGCCCTTTCCCACTGCAGTGGAGAAGCAGCATACTAGCGTGCCTAAGAGAGAGACTTTGGAGCCAGAGTACGTAATTTTGATTTGTTTTGTTTTTGTTTTTCTTGAGATAAGGTCTCACCATGTAGTCCAAGCTGACCTCAAACTCACAGCAATCCTCCTACCTCAGCTCTGCAGAGGTGGGATCACAGGTGTGCACCACACCTGGCAGAATATGTAGGTTTGAATACCAGCCACTTAGTCGCTGTCAAACTTTAGATAAGTTACTGAACCCCTTTCTCTTTTGTAAAACAACAACAAAAACTACCTACTTAACAGAGTTGTTGAAGATCAAATTAATACATGCAAAGTGCTTGGGAAAGTGCCTGGCATTTAAGCACCATGTACATACAAGCTGTTGTTATTGTTTTATTGACCAGCATCAATCCAGTTATATAAACAGACACTTGGCAGTAATCCTGGGCTCTTCTCGCTCCTTTCATTCCCATGCCCAACCCCTGCCCATTCTTCTTCCTTAGTTTTTCTTGCAGACCACTACACCTCACCACTATGGCACTGTGCTTCTGAAGTACACTTACACTCCTGGAGCAGTCTTGCACTATTCTTTTACCTCCATTCATTTTTAAAAATAGCTTCACTGTGAGATATAATCCACCTACCATACAGTTCTCCCATTTAAGGCATATAATTTAATTATTTTTAATCAATTCACAGATATGTGTGACATAGTCAGTTTAAAAAAAAAGCTCTTCAAAAAGAAATCCTGCATCTTTTAGTGTTCAGCCTGTTGTCTCCCACCTTCCTCCCAGCCTAAAGCAGCCTCTAATTGCTATCCCTGTATGTACTCCTATTATTGAATTTTCATATAAATGAAACACAAATATATGTAGTTTTTTGTGACTGGCTTCTTTTACTGGGTATGGCATTTTCAGTGTTCATCCAGGGTATAGCATAATGAAATGAATATATGTCTGAATAATAGTCGGTTGTAATTTATCTATTATTCTATGATGGACAGTTGGATTATTTCCATTTCTTGTCTATTATGAATGTTGCTGCTATATATATCTGTGTACAAGTTTTTGTATGGACATATGATTTCACTTCTCTTGGGTGTACACCTAGGAGTGGAATTGCTGGGTCTTATAGAAACTCCATGTTCTCATACCAGCAGTGTATGAGGGTTCCAAGCTCTCCTTGATGACACTTTAATCTTTTTTATATATATATAGCTATCTTTCGAGGTGGGTGTGAAGTAGTATCTCACTGGAATTTTGATTTTTATTTCCTGGTGTATATCTTCTCTGGAGAAATGTCTATTTAGATCTTGTCCCACTTTTAATAATGGGGTTATCTACCATTTATTTA